GTGCACCCCTCGCGGTCCTAAGTTCCTTGCTTGTGCTCTCTGTCCTTCTGCTCCTGATTTGAACCTTGAGATTTCAGTTCGGTGCTCCATTGTGGGTCTCTGTCTCTGTCTCCTTTCATCGCCTGATGAAGGTTTCTAGCCATAAATAAAGGACATTGAGCCTATAATTCGGGTTCTTAGAGAAGCTAAATAAGAAGGAGAACCCAAAGAAAATCATATAGGCATTCTCCTGAATATTAACCTTCATCAGGCGGTAGCTCCCATTTTTAATCTCAGTATTTGGGAGTCACATATCTTTAATCCCAGCAATAGAAAGATAAAGACAGAAAGGGATGCAGCTGAGTAGAGAAAGGAATATAAGGCAGGGGGAGACAGGAACTCAGACATTCAGTCTGATGATTTGTGGAGAAAGGATTTTGTCCACTATGGTCTGAGGATTTGGTAGAGATAAAATGTCTCTCTAGTGGTTGGCTCCTTTGGTTTTCTGATCTTTCAGCATTTTTTCTGATATCTGACTCTAGGTTTTTACTATTAAGAACAATTAGAATTTATGAAACAGCATCTATTTCCTTAGGGGTGATAGTTCTACTTAAATTACTTAACTGATCTTTATTTAACTTGATAAGTGGTATTATCAAGAAATTTGTCCATATTTTTAGATCTTCCAATTTTGTGAAGTACAGTTTTTGAAGTATGACCTAATAATTGTCTATATTTCCTTGGAGTCTATTGTCATTTTCCCCTTTTCATTTATGATTTTGTTGTTTTGAATGTTCTCTCTTTTATTAGTTTGGACAAGGGTTTATCTACTCTGTTGGTTTTCTTGAAAAACCAAGTCTGTTTCATTGATTCTTTTTATTGTTCCCTTTGTTTTCATTTTATTGATTTCAGCCCTCAGTTTGATTATTTCCTACCATCTTTCCTTTTGGGTGTATCTGCTTATTTTTGTTCTAGAGCTTTTAGGTGTGCTGTGAATTTACTACTATGAGATCTCTCTCAATTCTTCATGAAGGCATGTAGTGCTATGAACTGTTTTCTTAACATTACTTTCATTGTGTCCCATAAATTTGAGTATGCTATGCATTCATTTCCATTGAATTCTAGAAAATCTTTAACTTCCTTCTTTATTTCTTCCTTGACATAGTGGTAACTCAGTAGAGAGTTGTTTAGTTTCTATAAGTTTGTAGACTTCCTGTTGTTTCTGTTGTTGTTGGAAACTAGTTTTATTCCAAGGTGGTCTGATAAGATACAGGAGGTTATTTTTTTGTTTTATTATTATTATTTTTTGGATTTGTGAAGATTTGCTTTGTGGCTGAGTATATGGTCAGTTTTGGAGAAACTTCCATGAGATGCTGAGAAGAAGGCATATTTTTTAGTATTTTGGTGAAATGTTCTGTAGATATCTGTTAGGTACATTTGAATCATCAAGACTGTTAGGGCTGTTATTTCTCTGCTTAGTTTCCCTCTAGATGACCTATCCATTGGTGAGAATGGGTTATAAAACTCCATTTATAATTGTTTGGGGTTCTATTGTGATTTAAGCTTTAGTCATCTTTCTTTGACATGTGGGTGCTCTTACATTTGGGTCATAGGTGTTCATAATTGAGACATCACCTTGGTGGACTTTTCCTTTTATGAGTATAAAATGCCCCTCTCCATCTCTTTTTAATTTTGATTGGAATTCTGTTTTATTAACTAATAGGATAGCTTGATTCTTAGGTACATTTGATTAGAAAATCTTTTCCAAGACTTCACTCTGAGGTAATTTCTATCTTTGATATTTCTTGCATGTGCATTTAAGGTTATATGTGTTCATTGTATGGAACAGAATGATGGATCCTGTTTTCATATCCATCCTGTTAGCCTGTATCTTTTTATTGGGGATTTGAGTCCATTCATATTGATAGATATTAATGTTCAATAATTGCTAATTCCTGTTAATATATTGTTGGTGATGGTAGTGTGTGTGTGTGGGGGGGGGGTGTTTCCCTCCTTTGGGTTTTTCTGGTGTAATATTACCTATTGCTTGTGTTTTTGTGGGTGTAGTTAACTATTGGGGTTAGAGTTTTCCTTCTAGTATTTCTATAAGCCTGGGGTTTTGGATAGATACTGTCTAAATTTGACTTTGTCATGAAATATCTTGTTTTGTCCATCTATAGTGATGAACAGTTTTGCTGGGTATAGTAGTCTGAACTGGCATCCATAATGTCTTAGAATCTGAAAGCCTTTAGTCCAGTCCCTTATGGATTTTAGTGTCTCCACTGAAAAATCTGGTGTGATTGTGTTAGGTCTGTATTTATATTTCACTTGGCTTTTTTCACCCTTGCCACTTTTAATAATCTTTCTTTGTTCTGTATGTATGCTGTTTTTCTTACCAATCTATAAGCTTCTTGTGACTTTATAGACATGTCCTTCTTATTGTTGGAAAAAAATTCTTTATTATTTTCTTAAATGTATTCTCTGGGTTTTAAAGCTGGGTTTCTTCTTCTCCTTTCATTCCTATGACTCTTATGTTTGGACTTTTCATAATTTCCCAGATTTCCTGAATGTTTTGTGTTAGGGATATTTTAGATTTAGCATTTACTTTGACTGATGAATCTATTTCTGGTATTGTGAATGTTAGCCCCAAATGAGGAGGCTTCCATGTAGGCTGCAGCATGATTCCACTCAAATAACAGAACCAGGAAAACAAGTGACCCAACTAAAGAGTACAGGCTGTGGATCTGAACACTTGCTTCTCCAAAGAAAAATAAAAGGCTAACAATATCCCTCATTATGTTTATCACCCTTAAAATTATGGAAATATAACTTCAAATTACTCTGAGATTTCATCTTACCTCTGTCAAAATGACTAAGATCTAGAACATTATAGCAACAAATGCTGATGAGGTTGTGAGGAAAGAGAAATGCAGTTCACTGTGGGACTGCGAACTGGTCCAGTCACTGGGCAATCACGGGGGAGGATCTTTCAAATGCCAGGAATTCGTCTTCCATATAACCAGGCTCTGCCCCTTTTTGGCTAGTGCCCAAAAGAATTGACATCCTACTCCACAGATATTTGCTCAACCATGATCATTGCTGCTCTACTCATAATAATAGTTAGGGAATGGAACAAGCTTAAATGTCTTTCACCTGCTGCATAGGTAATGGAAATGTGATACATATATAGTAGAGAAATGTATTTAGCTGTAGAAGAATGAGCTGAAGTGTTCAAGGAAATGGATGGAACCAGAGCATGGACTGAGTGAGGTACCCCAGACCTATAGAGACAAGTACTGTATGGTCTTTCTTTTTTGAAGATCTTAATTCTGGAAATTTAGATATGAGAAAATTTTCCTTTGCTTGAAGAAAAACTCATATTTTCACAAGAGTAGTAGAAAATATTTGATAAAATATTTTTATTATTTTTTTGAGAATTTCATATGATATATTTTAATCATACTAACTACACTTTTCCCACTAACTCCTCTCAGATCCACCCACATCTCTCAATCCCTCAAATTCAGGTACTCTTTTTTTTATTTTCTAATAACCTACAGAGCCCAATATCTACTGCTGCTCACAAATACATGCTGTATGGCCCTCCACTACAGTGTTGTCAATGTGCCAGGGCCACATTCTTAAAGAGAAATTGACTCACCCTTTCCCAGAAATCATCAGCGATCTGTCCATAGCGCCTCAGTTAGGGATGGGGTTTGTGAACTCACTCCCCAGTTATACGAAAGTGTAGACTGGCTTGATTTGTTGAGGTCATGTGCAGTCAGCCCCAGCTGTGTGAGTTCTTGATTGAAGTAATCCTGTCCCTGTCACGTCCAGAAGACACACTTTAGAGAAGCAGCTTGTACCCACCCCCATCCTTAAACTTGGGATCTTACTATATTTCTTATCCTGCCCCTTTAACCACTTTTCTGAGTCTTGGTTTTAGCTTAGAATAATGTTCAGAAATATAACTGTCTCTGTCTTCCAAGAAATTAAAAGGATTTTTTTTTTGCTTTTTGTTCTTTACAATTATCTTCATATTTAAGATGTGTATTGCCCTGGGGTTGTTAGGTACTTGATCGTACTGTGACAATGTCATCAAATTCAATTCCTTGCCAATACACTGAACTGTAAGTCGGCTTTCCTTCTCTTCCCATTCATGTACATAGCACACTAATGCATCTCACCTGGTTTAGTTTGGCTATTTTGAGTATCACTGAATATTTTAACTGAAGCACATGTTATTTTTAAAAGTTAAATTCTACTTATTTCCTAGTTAATCCAAGGCTGTGCTTGGTGGAGCGGAACAATTATTTTGAAATTCCTGACATCTAAAATTTGTGGTGTTTCAGACCATGTAAGTACTCTTTACTTAAAACATTAGTATCTCTGAAGGTACATCCCTGGCTACAAATCTGAGGCAGCCTGTTTGTATCTCTTCATTTTGATGAGATTCCAGGTCGAAAGCACATTTTCTGCAGAGTGATCATATATGCCCAGGGAAAATAAGTCAGTGGATGCTGCTTGAAGACTTTCAAGAAAGAAAACTAAGAATTTCCTTATTAGTAATTTGCATTATTTCAGCTGAAAATAAGTATTTCCTCCTTAATGAAAAATTTCCCTGTTGAAGATGTTAATATATGGCCAGTGTCTACTTATCTTTGAAATACAGACTTTACATTTTTTTCAGATTAGTTTTTCTAATTTAATATTAGAACCTAAATTATGTGTTGTTATTTAAGACTATTTTTATCATGTAAAACATGTTAATAGCTCTTTGTCTCTTTATCTTCTAGAAAAATATAGAGAAATTCCTTATTTTTAATTTGGTATTTATTTGTCTTAAAACAAATATTTTAATGAAAGTCTCTTTTCAAGTCCTAACTCCCAGCATGCTAACTAGTTTAAGTAAAGTAAAATAAAACATGGATACACATTTGATATTTAGTACTTTCTATTAAGAAATAAGCACACATGAAGATAACAGGAAAAACTGTATAATGAAATTTTCTCTATATGAAAATGTCCAGTAGGGGCCCATGCAGTACAGAACCACCTTACCTTTGGCAACTAGCTGTAGTGCTGCTCCTGTGACAGGCTGGGTGGTAGGGACGGCTGGTGAGATGGTTTACACACACATGAGAATTTCTGCACACAGATCCCATTTTGTACTTACTGATATAGAAAACATGGATTCGTAGTTTATTTGTTGTTTCTGTTTTCTGGGGATGTGTATCATCATTTTTCCTTATTATGCTTAACTTTTTATTTAATAAAGTATATATTTAATTAACTTTAAGCTTTCCATATTACTTATCCATTTGATTGATTGTTAATTTTATTCCTTATCTTTTTCTATATTCTCATTCAACTTCTGTAAATCTATGAAGAAACACACATCATTACAAGATAAAGTGAAAAAATAGCCCAATAATTTTATGATAAATTATTAGATTAAAATTTCACAATTAAAGGTCTGATAGTAGTCCCAAATGACTTTCTCTAGGTGTGAAATTTTAGTATTTTAATTCAATTATTACTAGTTTTCAGGACTACTTTAAACTAAAAATGGTAACTTTAAGAAAAGCTTCAGTATTGGTCAATAAGAAAACTCTTTGAATTAGTGTAAACACTGATCATCGTCAGAGTTGTTAAAATTGTTTCTGTGCCTCTCAGAGAATTTGAATTAAAGTTTTTCCATGTCAAACATCTCAAAGTAGTAAAGTGATTGTCTCTTCAGTGTTAGAAAGCAAGGGTTCTGGACTGCGTTTAGTTGATGGTGTCAAGACACTGAGTCAGAACTGTATGATTCCTATGAGAAGAGTTTTCATGTTTAATGGATACATGGCTGTCTGAAATTATTAAGTAACAAACACAGTCACTACATGAGGCTTTGTGAAAACTGTAATACCTAGAAATGTTTAAGATTTATAGTGTCTCGTGAAGAGAGTGAACTGGAAGTGTTTCCCCCCACAAATTGCATGATTATAAATGTCTTAAACTAGTTTATTCCAGAGAAACACTGGCTTCAGGCTTACCATCCCTGCCAATTTTTTCCTGACTTTTTTCTACTTCTCATTATGTCTGTATTTTGGTATTAGTTCTTTGAGAATTTCCAGTCTCACCTCCTACCTCAGCTCTGCATCGCTACCCACACAGTTTTGTGTCCTTTATTTTTACACCCCTCTCTCTAGAGCTTGATCAGATCTCTTAAGTGCTACAGACTTAAAGAAAACTGTTGTAGCTGGCTGTGGTGGTGCATTCCCTTATCCTAGCTTGCAAGAGACAGAGGCAAAAGGATCTCTGTGAGTTCAAGGTCAGCTTGGTCTATAAAATTCCAGGACAGCCAGAGCTATACAGAGAAACCCTATCTCAATACCTCCACAACCACTATCTCCCCCCCCCCAAAAAAAAGAGAAAAAAATTAAGGAAGGAAGGATGGAAGGAAGGAAGGAAAACTATCTCTCTCTACCAGCAGCTAACAGTTTCTAGTCACTCCTTGGCTAGGGATGGTATTGTGTATCAACTCCCTTGTCCATGCTGGGATTTGGTCTGACTTGGCCTTTCACAAGGTTTGTATATTGTAGCCATGGATTTTCTGTGTCCCACCCAGTCCTGCAGCTGCTTATAAAATAATCACTGACTTAATATTAACTATAATTTGCCAATGACTCAGACTTATTTTTAACTAGCTCATACAACAAAATTAACTCATTGTTATTAGTCTACATTTTGCCATGAGGCTCATGGCTTGCTATCTCACATCTTGCTTCCCCAGTAGCTGCCGAGGTTTTTTTTTCCCAACTATGCCTTCTTTCTCTCTGTATTCAGTTTGGCTTTCCTGCCTAGCTATATTCTGCCCTACCATAGGCCAAAGCAACTTTATTCATCAACCAGTAAAAGCAACACATAATCACAGCATACGGACATCCCACATCATTTCCTCTTTTCTGTCTAATTAAAAAGGAAAGTTTTAACTTTATCATTATAAAATTATGTGTAACAAAATAGGTATTAAACAATAATTATAGTTATAATAGTCCATTTGCATTTGGCAAAATTAAATAAAATACTCTATCATCCATCTATCTTTCTGAGTCTGAAGTTTCATATCTAATATCGTATCTTTTATCATAGCTGAGGAAAATTATAACTATATAGTCTTCAACTCCATCAAAGGCCCCAGAAAGACATAATATTACCTGAATAAACAGGAAGTACAATCAAGTGACTTCCAAAAAATGCAAGAAATGACAGAAACAGCTGACTGTCTGGTCAGTCACCCAAAGTTCTTCTGTGGCATCCATCTTCAACCTACAGGCCTAGAGTGTCTGGCAGATTTCCCAGGGAAGCAGGAAATTTGTAGGATTGTCCTGCCTATTTTGGGAAAATTCATCAGTCACTTCCTTCTGTGTCCTACAGAATGTCTGGAAGACTATTTCGTGAATCAGGAACTCTGAAGGACTGTCTCACCTTGTTTGGCAAGTTCAGCTGTCATTTTCTGTGGGCCCTGTATGTCCAGTTTATACAGTATATTGTCAAGCAGTCTAGGCAAGAGCAGTTTCTTGACCAAATGGGTGGCATTGCCACTTTGAAAGAAAACTCCATAGGGGCTTCTTTAATGCCCATCATCCTTGTGAAGTAATTGGTGCTTCCAGGAGCAGACATTTCTCACTGTCAAGAGAAGTTGAAGTTTTTAAAACATTTAAAATGCCATATTATGTAGGTCTTTGAAGTGTTTGAAGACTACTTATCCTTCTGAAATATACTTCTTATATCTAGAAAATCTATCTAACATGACTATAAGTTTGACTATTAAAGATGAGTATTAATTTGTATTTCTTAACTATACATTACAATTTTTAAATGAGTGGTATACATATAATACCTTAAGCAAGAGTAGAAATATATATACAATATAATAAAATTGGCCTTAAATTTGTGTCAATAAACCAAAATCCATACCAATGTATTTTAAGATTAGCAGTTGTCTTTCAATAATCTACATTTTTCATCATTTCTATATTATATGCCCCATTTTTCTTCAGAAAGAGATTGACTATGACCACTAACCATTTATAACCAACCCATTTTTAATGTAAACAAACAAAAATTTATATATAATATTTTGAGAATTTATGAGTAGTTTTCTGTACTTCCTGTTGATTGGGGGTGCTGGTAATCTGATGGAGATTCTAAGAAA